GAGGGGGGCTTTACCTTGCCCTAGCCCCTGCCTGTATTCTCTATCAATCTTTCCTGTCCACCACTAGGTAAAGAACCTCCTCTGCCACACACAGCACTCTGAGGTTCTCTCTAAGCAGCCGTAGATTGAGCCTTTTGAAGCCATGAGGACAAATAAATCTCCTTTAAGTTGTTCTCTCAAATATTTTTGTCACAATTATGCAGAAGTCACTAACATAGAGGGTAAAAGTCCCTATCAGGTAGACCCATCAGTTTGGCTTCTGGTAAGGGCCCTCCTGGCTTTAAAACAGAAAGAAAATCACATGCAGTAGTGAGTGTCCTGCTTTATAAACTTTTTCGAGAACCAGTGTTGCATGGGAACGGTATCAGTCCCTTCCAAGGGCAGCATCCCAATGACCTAATTATTTCTCATGAGGCTTCACCTCTTAAAGACACCATCTGTAGCTTCATACCACATTGGGTACCAAGTTTTCAGAATATGAGCCATTGGGGGACAAACCATATACAAACTATGGAATCAGCGTTATTGTAATATGCATTTAAATATGATTATGGTAGTAAATTTTTAAATGTGTTCTTTAACTGAATAAGGCAAAAATGGTAACTTTTTAATCGTCTCTATTGTACTTAGAGTAAAATCCTAAACTCTTTATCCTCAGCATCTAAACCCTGTTTAATCCTGTTTTGCTGATGTCTCCCCACCTCATTTTGAACCATTCCCCTCTTATCTGCTATTATACAGCCCCAGTAGCCTTTCTGTTTCTTACTAAGTCTTTATCTTTTCTTGGAATGTTCTTCTCTCTGGCTTTAACTCAGCTGGTTCTATCTTGTTTTCTATATTTTGGCTTATTGGTATGTATTAGTTTTCTCATTGCTGTAACAAAATACCTAACAGAAGCTACGTAGGGAAGAAGAATTTATTTTGGTTCTACATTTAAAAAGGGATATGATTCATCATGGTAGAGATGGTAGGCTTGGTGGTGGGAGTGAGAGACAGCTAATTAGCTTGGGTCCACAGTCAGGAAGCAGAGAGAGATGAATGCTGGTACTCAGCTCATTTTCCCCTTTTTCCTTTTTATTCATTCCAGGACCCCAGCCCATGGGATGGTGCTGCTCATATTCAGGGTGGATCTTCCCTCCTCAGTTAAACCTTTCTGCTGGAAACTCCCTTAGAGACATGCCGAAGATGTATCTACTAAGTGATTCTAAATCCAGTCAAGTTGACAAAGAATATTAAGCATCCTATATTTCCTCCTCACAAAGATTTTTCTCTGCCACCCATCTCTAGCTCTCACATCAGTCTATTAGAATTTTCTGTACAACACTTATCATCATCTGATATTTTTCATATTTATATAAGAATATGTTATTCAGCACTTGGGAGGCAGAGGCAGGTAAATCCTTATGAGATCAAGCCCAGCCTGCTCTACATAGTGAGTTCCAGGCCAGTTGGGCCTAGAGGGAGACCCCATCCCTAAAAATAAAAATAAACCAAAGAATATAAGCTATTGAGAGTTAGAGACCTGTCTGTTCTCATTGCATCCTCATGTGCCTGACATGAATGAAAACTGAATTTCCAAGTCTGAAATGAACATTTATTGAAATGGATTGCCTCCCAACCCCAAGCTTTAAATTTACATTTTAATGTAATTTTAAAAAAATTTATGTGAATGAATATTTTGCCTGCCATGTATATAAGTTCACTGTGTGTGTGCAGTGCCTGTGGAGAACAGAAGAGGACGACATTGGCTCTCCCAGAACTGCAGTTACAGACAGTTGTTAGCCATGTGGGTGCTGGGAACTGAACACAGGTCTTTTGCAAGAGCAGCCAGTACTCTTAACCACTGAGCCATCCCTCTAGCCCTTAATATAATTTTAAATGCAATACTTTCTTTGATATTTCTAACTAAATGTCCTGCAGAAACTTCAAACTCCAAATAAAAATTTGACACCTTTCTGTTCAGTTTCTCTGCCAAACCTGCCTTCTGTCTGTCAGTGTCTTTGTCATTAGTCCACCTGTCAGGCCCGAGGTCCTTTTTATTTCTTTTCCTTCTCACCCCCCCACCACCATTTGGCAGGCTGTCAGTATTTCATCTTGCATCCTTCCCTTCCCTTCCCTTTCATCCCACAGTTGCCACCATCTCATTTTAAACCTAATAACTTTTTCTTGGAGCATTGTTAAAAGCTCTAAAGTGAGCTTTTCCCTCCCCCTTTTCTGGGCCATAGGGCCATCTGTCTTGGATACTACTTTTCTGTTCAAAATGAACAAAACGTAATCTTTTTTATGCTTTGGAAAAGCCAGGGATGCCTTCATCCTCCTGCCTCTTTTAGACCCTTCTCACTTTCCAGCCTGATCTTTCACTATATTCCTGTTAACACCTTTAATCTTGTAGCTTGCCAGCCTTACAGTTATTTGTTAACTGTATCAGACCCCACTCAGCACTTTTACGAATCCATTTAGAGTTCTTCTGATTCTCTTACAGCCCCTTTTCTGACTCAGAGTTTTTTCTTTAAGACCTAACTCAGGGAAAACAAAAAAACTCCCCAAGAAGCCTTTCTAGATCTTCCCTCAATCCTAAAATTGAAACTACTAGCATAGGTCCATAATATCTCTGTGGCTGGTTTTTTAAATTGTGGCAAAATGTAATAATATAAAAGCAGCCATCCTAATCATTTTAAGTGTGCAGTTCATTGGCATTAAGTATATTCACATTGTTATACAGCTGTCATCATTGATCTCTGTGGCTTTAGTTGTCACTTTTAGATTGTACACAGAAACTTGGCCTCTGCTGGGGATGTAACTGAATGGTTGACCATGTACCTAGTGTGTGCAGGTCCCAAGTTCAATCCCGAGCTCCTCAAAAACAGATTTTAAAAAATAAGACTCAATACTTTGTATGCTAACCTAAAAATTAATTCTAAACAGCTTGTTTTCATTTATAAGCATTTGGTTAACATGGATTATCTTGAGTGTAATTTGATAACCTCATTTATGTGTCTTGAGATTAGGTTGCAGGTCTCCAGCATTGTGATGTTTCTTGGGTAACTTAGGAATGTATTCAGTTTCCTTCTTTGTATTTCTTTTTCTGAAAGGCTTTTGGAGGGAGGTTATAGAGTTCTGATTTTTTAAAATTTATTTACTCAATTTCTTAAGAGCTTTTGATTCTTTTGTTTTTTTAACTTAAATTTTTTTTTTTAATTTTATGTGTATGTGTGTTTTGCCTGCATGTAGGTAAGTGCACCTGTGTTGTGCCCACAGAGGTCAGAAGAGGCTGTCGGATCCCCTGGGACTGGAGTTACGGACAGTTGTTAGCTCCATGTGGGTGCTGGGATTCAAACTGAGTCTTCTGCAAGAACAGCCAGTGTTCTTAACCGCTGAGCCATCTCTCCAGCCCCAGGCTTTTGATTCTTTATACTAAACCTAACCTTTTGTTGATGATATAGAATGATGTTTATAAATATGCTGATGAAATGGAGCAGATTATCTCAAAGCAGAATTTAGATTTGTTTTGTTTGTCAGTGTTTTGATATTTGTGCTGTATTGCTTGCTTTTCTTCACTGTTGCCTAAACCCCTGTTCTCTGATGAACGCCTAGTAAGCTATGTTTTGGACAGTGACATTGACTTCTCTACAAGCAGATTTCAGAATTATTCCTCCCCCAAATGCTCTTTCCCCAGGTGTTCTTTCCTCTTATAACCAAACTAGCATGCATTTTTAAATATCATAGAGTCAGAGTTGGAAGGGTCCTTTATGATCATCTAATGCTTACTTTGAGATAAATTAAAGATCCACGTTGTTAATAATGTCAAAGAGTTCCCAGCCTGTAAGTGGCAGAAGTGCTATGCCTCAGGATACCTTTTGATTCTGAGTCAATGAAAGGGAAGTGGCTCTTCCCCTTCTGAACTGAAGGACCCTGTATTATATCATCTGAGATACACTGGGAGGTGGAGAAAGATGACCCTCAAATTTTGTGTTTTGTTTTGCAAGAGGGGATTGGAGGAACCTCCTTTGGGACACTTGAAAAAGGAAGTCTACTTTGCCATGGACAGGTATATAGGAGGTACTAAGCATTCGCTCAGAAAACCTGGGCTTTTGAGGCATCCTTCAGGAATAATAGGATTTACTTAAGATCAGGGACCATTTCATATGCAAAAAGGGACAGGTGGCTTTGGAGAGCATCTATTACTGTAATTGTTTGCCTCCCCACATTTTAGCAGCAAAGTAAGCTCACAGAGAAGTTATGCCTCCCTTCTTTTATATGCCTTATTTATCCTAAAACAAGATGTGAAAAAATCAAGTGACAGGAATGATAAGATAAAATGCTTTCCACAGAATGCATGAGCTTGCAGAGGTATGAAAGTGGTAAAGGTGGTTGACTGGGTGCTTATTCCCCATTTAATTCCAGCTTCCATTAAACACATTTTGAAAAGTTTATTCTCTCTTATTCTTTTCTGAGTTATGTAGCTGTGCCACCCTAGAGAGAATCTTTTTCTTTTGCCACCTTCTTGATAAAGGGAATAACTGGAATATTAAGTACTTAATGATGCTTGGCAGGAATGTTCTTCACAGCTTTAGGATAATGTGAACCCTTCACTCTCATTCTATTTTAGATCTTAACCTCTTTGTGCCTCACTTCTCACATCTGTAAAATGGACAAAATAATAATACTTTATGTAATTGTTATAAATAGTAATGGTCATACACATAAAGCTCTTACAACTGGTTTGGAATTTTGTAAGAACTGACACTTAGGAGTTGTTATTAGCTGATTTAATCATACTTTTCATAATTGTTCATCCTACCAGTTAAATGTATTAAATATATTCCTTTCCAATGTGTATAAACTTGTATAAACTTTCCTCTATAACCGAAGAGGCTTCTCCAATTTCAAACAACTTAATGAAAAACACATGGGAAAAATGGCTGGTTTAATTTCTTCAGTTTTGGAAGGGTGCACTTTCTTTTCTTTGCAAGTAAACTTGATTTTCCTTCGTGGTACAGGTGGTATGCAAGATTACAATTATGTATGGGCCAATTGTTTTGAGATCACGTTAGAACTGTCTTGTTGCAAGTATCCACCTGCTTCACAGCTTCAACAGGAATGGGAGAACAATCGTGAGTCTTTGATCACATTGATTGAAAAGGTAAAAGTATCTTACTGGAAGGTTAGAATATAGAAATGGATTAAATAAGAGAGAAACTTGAATGCATATGAATAACAATCTGAATTATGTATTCTTTATTTTCCTTAAAATGTATTACATCCATAAGATGGAATTTTTATACAGTAATAAAAAGATAGTTAATATATACATGGATGAACCTCAAATGCATTATGCTAAATGAAAAACCAGTTGCACAAAGCTCCATACCTATGACTGTACTTTTAAGATGTTCTAGAATAAATTATGTATTCTTTATCTTATGTTTTAAGATTATAGCTTATCTCTAGAAATTATTAGATTATAACCTATTAGAACACATCCTAGCTCTGCCTTTTCTGTCCCCCTACCCTACCTCTATCTCCCTACTCCTTGGGGCTTCCATTGCTTATCTTAGAACACTTTTACACATGAAAATAATTGGCCAAATTTATACTGGGGGCTTGTGGTATAGCTCAGTGATTGAACAAGCGTTTGGCATGAATGAAGCCTTGAATTTAATTTCAGTACCAGGAAAACCCTACAGATTTGTACTTTCAGGTTAACAGTGCCATGTGTTCATATTTGCTAGAGAGCCTTAACCACTCACTATGTGAACTGTGGGCATCAATTTAATGTAAGTATCAGAAAAGCTCATACAATTATTTGTTATACTAGAAATTATAGTTTGGAAACAAATTTAGAAGCCTGGATTTAAAGAGAGGGAATTTCAAAAGCACCTTAGTAATATAGAGACATTTATACGTTTAAGAATTTAATACTTTTGTGGGGCTGGAGAGATGACTCAGTGGTTAAGAGCACTGACTGCTCTTGCAGAGGACCTGGGTTCAATTCCCAGTACCCACATGGTCACTAACAACTATCCATAACTCCAGTTTCAGGGATCAGACACCCTTTTCTGATCTCTGCAGGCATTGCACAGCACAAGTGCACTTATATGCATGCAGGCAATACACTCATAACACATAAAATAAAGAATTTAGTACTTTTGTCTATGTTTTGTTTCAACTTCAAGGAATTTGAAACTATTTGGGGAAAATAGTATAGTAATCTTACCTTTAAGAAACTTCGGGCTGGAGAGATGGCTCAGAGGTTAAGAGCACTGGCTGCTCTTGTAGAGAACCCAGGTTTGATTCCCAGCACCCACATGGTGGCTGACAACTGTGTAACTCCAGTTCCAGGGGAATCTGATGCCCTTTTCTGACCTCTGCGGGCATTGCATGACACAGGTGCACTTACATACATACAAGCAATACACTCATACACATAAAATAAAAATAGTAAATAAAATATTTATCTAGCACCAAATTGATTGCCTCTGAGCTTTGATTCTTGTCTTTTAGGTCCACATTGGAATTAAAGGATTTGTTAAAGATTCAGTAACAGGATCTGGATTGGAGAATGCAACTATCTCAGTGGCTGGTATTAATCACAATATCACAACAGGAAAATTTGGTGATTTCCATAGATTACTCATTCCTGGAGTTTATAATCTTACAGCAGTTTCAACTGGGTAAAAATTTAAACTAGATTCAAAATGTCAAATCTCTCTTTTATGTCTAAGACAGAAAGGTGGTCTATTAAATGTTACTGTATCTGACTTTTGTTTTTCCATATATTCTATTTTTAATGGGAAATTTCCCCCTTTTATAATGAGAAAATAGTATCATGGAGTGTTGTCACATAGTCTAGCAATGTGAAGCATAATCAATCGTAACATTGGGAGAAGAATGACTTTAAGAGATTGAAAAATGCTCATTTATCTCAAGCATTGCCTCAGGGTTAATTGAATCTCAGAGCGGAAGAAACCCAGAGCCCTGTAAATGGCACTTGAAGAACCGTCCAAGCAGCTCTTCATATATTAAAGGAGTAGCTTCTCACCTCCAGTGGGAATCTTTCTGCATGATTACATCATAAGGATTTCATTGATAACTTTCAATTTAATTTTGGACTTTGTAACTTGGGGAAGAAAGTGGGAATGGCTAGTTTGATAAGGCACTGCAAAGGTGGATAATGTATGCCTTTGAATACTATAGCAACTGTTAAGTGGAGTAATTAGCATATCTGTTTCTTTGAATATGGGCTGTTTGTTTTTATAAACAGTCTAGTGTATGGTACCTGGGATGGTTGGTGAGATAACTCTTTTTAAAGACTTAATCTGAGATTCTCTATGAAATAACATCCTAAGACTGTTACATTCATACAATTATCTTTGTTTAGTTTTGAGTTTTGATAGATCACTAAGTGCAAGAATATGAAAAGGCTATTGTATTTTCATAATGCTAAAAACGCTAAAGCATTGTGGGTCTTATCTCCAAGCCTCCTCTGTTTTCAACTTTTCTTTTTAGGTATATGCCACTGACTATTAATAATATAATGGTGAAAGAAGGACCTGCCACAGAAGTGGATTTTTCCCTACGACCCACTGTGATTTCAGTAATTCCCAACTCAACTGAGACTGCAAAAACTGCTAGCACAGTTGCCACCCCTAACATTCCTCCAGGAACATCATCTTCCCATCAGCCAATTCAGCCTAAAGACTTTCACCATCACCATTTCCCTGATATGGAAATCTTCTTGAGAAGATTTGCCAATGAATATCCTAATATCACTCGACTTTATTCGTTAGGAAAATCAGTAGAATCCAGAGAACTGTATGTGATGGAGATATCTGATAATCCAGGTGTCCATGAACCAGGTAATTAGTGTGTCCTTATACATGATTCAGTAGTGCCTCTCAAAGCTATGTGTTACATTGCTATGCCTTGTCCAGCTATACTATGTATAACTTGGATTAAGAACACATGATCAAAAAAGAAAATAAAGCCAATCTGTTCCCAGAAAAGAAAATCCATTTGGTAATTCACATTTGCATGGTATTTAATATGTTCATAGATTAGATTCATTCTGCTATGGCACATGGATATACATATATGTGTATATGTATCT